TAATAAGACTAAAATATTATCTAAAAATATGACCAATTCGGACAAGGAGATCTTAGTTAATTTGACAGGTTTTGAAATTGTAAAAAAGGTTAAATACTTGGGGGTTTATATAACTGCTTCTAATGTAAAACTGTATAAAAACAATTATGAAATGTTATGGCTTAAAATTCAGGAGGATTTGAATGATTGGAAAAAATTGCAATTATCTTTGTTAGGGAGAATTGCTGCAGTTAAAATGAATGTTCTGCCAAAATTTCTTTTTTTGTTTCAAATGATACCTATCTTAAAGAAAGAGGTAAATTTAGAAGAATGGCAGAAGGGTATTAATAGATTCATTTGGGCTGGGAAAAAACCAAGAGTTAAGCTTAAAATTATACAAGATGTTCGAGAGAGAGGAAGACTCAGGGTGCCAAATTTGAAATTGTATTATGATGCGGTGGTTTTAACGTTGATTAGTGATTGGCTTAACTTAACAAATTCAAATATACTTTTTTTGGAGGGATGGGATTTATTATTTGGATGGCATGCGTATTTATAATAAAAAGGTGGATAGGGTTTTTAAGTCCCATGTTTTAAGAATTGCTTTATTGCATGTCTGGAAGAAATATTATAGATTAAATTTTAGAATACCGTTGTGGGGAATTCCTGGGCATGCAATAGAGGGGATAAGGAAAGGAGTGAAAATGAATAGGATTTCTTACAAATAATTGCTTAAGTGGGAAGGGAATAATTGGCAATTAAAATCTATGGAGGAATTAATGCAAGAAAATATTATTTATTCTTGGTTCCAGTATAGGCAATTATTAGAAAGATGGAGTATAGATCAAAAAGTGGGTTTTACTATGGAAGATGTGAATTTGATGAAACAAATTAAAGATCAAAGTCGAACTCATGTAAAAAGAGTTTATAATGCTCTAGTGGAATTGGATTCAGAAACAGAATTAGTTAAAGATTGTATGGTTAAATGGGCTCAAAATTTTGAAGAGCCAATTTTATTAGATACATGGGAGGTAATTTGGGTGAGGAATGTTAAGTTCACCCAAGCTCAAAATTTACGAGAAAATTTTTATAAAATGTTTTATAGGTGGCACCTTGATCCACAAAAGATGTCTCGTATGTATCCGAATGTACAGCCCAAATGTTGGAGATGTGGTTGTTTGGATGCAACGTACTACCATATCTGGTGGTCATGTAGAAATATAAAGGCTTTTTGGATTAAGATTTGGTGGAACATTCAGAAGATTTTTAATGAAGGATAAAATTTACACCACAATTATTTTTGTTAGGTATTATTGAAGATTGTGATGGCAAAGAGATTATTTTAATGTTGAATTTTATCACGGCGGCAAGGTTATTGATTGGGCAATATTGGAGAAAAGACTCCTTGCCTACTTTAGAGGAATGGTTTTTTAAAGTTTCTTATTTATCAGAAATGGCAAAAATGTCGGCTTATCTGAAAGACCATTCACAAGAGAGATATATCTTGGTGTAGAAAAGATGGGTAAATTTTGTACAGAATAAATATGGGATTAGAAAGTATTATTTAGCTTTTGAATAATTTATAGTTTAAAGTGGGTATTTTTCTTTTTTTTATTGTTATGTTATGGTTGGACTTGTTTCTATGTATTGGAGTTAAAGTACTTTAATTTTTTTGGATGTATGTATAGTTGATTGATGTTCATTTAATTTGTAGGGTTTTTTTGTTTTGTTTTTGTTTTTTCTAACCCTGTATTCAGCTCTGGGAAGGAGGGGGGAGGGTCATGGGGGATAGGAGGGGGGGGAGGTATTTTATTGTAAAAAGTTCATAAATTTTTCAATAAAAAAAAGTGCTGCTCCTGTCTGCTCAGGTGTTTGCTTTTCACCCGGCTTCTCTGAAGCTTCCTCTTTAGTTTACCAATCTCTCTAGGATCGGTAAAGCCATTGCTGGGCTCTTAGCAAAGATGTTTCGGGATTTAGGAACAGAGGTCTGTTCCTTCACCCGCTCCACGATGACGTCACAGCCAAAAGTCCTATTTGCTTAATTTTAATTGTTCAGTTTGCAGAATTTACGTTATAGTGGCACATGACCGGAATTTACCTGGTGCAGAATTTTAATCTTAGTTATCTACTGTTACTGTTACTCTCATTACATCTTCTCTCATCTGTGCCTAAAGATAGTTTTTATAATTTACTTCCTTCTTCAGCCATTTCCGACTATCCTGCCATTTTGTTGGGAGGATTTAGGCTCAGATTAGAAAGATTATGAAATGATAATAACATATTCAACAATAGAACTGTAGTTATAGAAGAATAAGTCAGTGGAAATGTTGAGTTAATGAATGCTGGTGTTTTGTAACTGGAAAAAAACTCAAGGATGTGCTCTGTTGATACATGGTAGCCATATTTATAGGCTACAGAATGACCTTTTGATTGAAGCCCTTCTGAATAGATTATCAGTAACAAAAAGAAAGATATAATAAAGGAAACATAACTTGTTCTTGAATATGATCTATGTGGTTGCTATCTATGTGGTTGCTAAGAGTCAACATCAGCCTCAGTCACATCATTGATCAATTATTATTGGCAACTAGAAGCTGTCATAATAAGAAAAAGAATACCAATAGCACAAGGCTTATATGCAGCATAGTGCATATTACAGCACTCTATGAGTAGTTTATAAATGTCAGCATATTTCCCCCAACAATCTGGGTCCTCATTTTACCAACCTCAGAAGGATGGAAGGCTGAGTCAACTTAAGCTGGTCAGGATCAAACTCCTGGCAGTTAGCAGAGTTAGCCTGCAAAACTGTAATCATCTACCACTGTGACACCACAGCTCCTGTTAAAAAGTTTTAATATAGATTACAGAAGAGACAATTTAAAATAGATGTGAAAGCATGATAAAACATATAGTTTATGCTCAAGATTAAGAAAAAATTAATAAGCAGTCATATGATATGAAGAGATTGACAAAGCAAATTTCAGAATATTTAGTATACACCAAATGCTGAAGCTCATGCTAAAAATAAATAATGACGTGATCCAATTTGCAGAGAAGTGGATGGCGACAATTCATGCTCTGGTCAATGTTAGATTTGGATTAGCTGCTAGTGCTTACTATCATATGAATGGAAGGTATTTTTACTTGATCAGGAATCAATGTAGTTGTTACAGTCAACTCCAGAAGGACAATTACAGTACTGAAGCTAATCCAATATACTTTTTTTAAAGCTACAAGAAATCTTTTTCTCATGAAATCTCTGCCTTTTTTGTGGAATGATCTAGTAAAGCTAAATAATTTTGGCAGGGATCAATTTTCTTACCACCACATCCCACTGAACTAGATATAAAGCTGAATTTGCTTTTGTAACGCTGATAAGAAACACATTTGTATTTTGCTACAGAGAATATCAGTCCTGATTAGGGCTGATAATTTTTCTATGGTTTGCAGGTAAAATTATTGTTTTATTCTAGTGGCCAGACTCTATAATACCTTTTAAAAGTCTGAACAGAAGACACATGTTCATTCTCTAACAAGAACTTCAACTAATTCTCTGTGAAGTTTGATCAACATTCCAGCAGGTGATCATGATTTAGTTTTTTTTGCTTCAGAACTTTGTAATTTTATATACATGTGTTTCAATGAATATTTCCTTCTTTTGCTCTCTTCCTTTATTATGGTGCAGATTTTTATTTTACTTTTTACATAGATCATTTTTAATTTAGATTTAATTTCTATAAATGTATAAGCAATTTGAATATATTTATTTCAATTTTTATACCTGGTTATTGCATTTCTTCCGTTTATATATTAAAAGAAAAGGTGAGGGGGTTTTTTTGGGTAAGGATTATTTTTCACAATAATTCTAGTCATATGGACATAGTTGCCCTACTTGAAACTTGCCCTACTTGTTCTGTCCATGACTGGATCTGAAAACAAACTGCTTAGTGAATGCTTCTGCATGCAAAAATGTCCCAAGATTAACCTGAGATAAATATCTTCTTATCATTCAAAGACCAGTATTTGGCAAATAATGCTAGACCATGGTTGAAGTAACAGGGCCAATCTTAATAGAGGTAACTATCTATGTAGCAATTGTGTTCTCCCCACCCCCACAAACCCAGCCAGATAGAAGTATTTGTTCAACCTGAATTTTAAGTCTAAAGGACTGGAATTCCCATTCACTCTTTGTTTTCATGAGCAATAAGGATGGTTTTGTTTCTTCATTCCTTATCTCATCCATCAAGACCAGAGATGAATTGTCTGTATCAGCTGCCTATCAGCTTCAATCCATCTTCAGTCCATATCTTCCCTCTCAGCAAATTGGATATCTTGAAAAGGTTGCCATGAGTGTCTAGAGAAAAGACTTGGAGAATATGAATTGGAAATGAAGTCTGATACACCTACTCTATTTGACTTGAACTGCGCAGGAAGCCCAGAATCTGGATCTGCCTGGAACACCAACTTCTTATTCAATCCCTCGTAGATGACACTCCAGATGTTTTGCCCTGAAGGATGGTGTGAGTGGTTTCAGTTCAATGTATTCCAGTTTGGGAAACATTAACGACCCTTTTAAACATTTCAAGAACCTTCCATTTTAGATGAGAGGGAAAGATACAACTCAAGTGAAATATTGGCATAGTTCTGTATGATTTAACACAATTCCATGCAACTACAGAGGACAGGCAGACATCCAACATGTGCAGCACTTCAGAGAGAATATATAATTTCCTAGAAAACACTATCAATTCCAACATTCATGAATTACAACTAAAAACACATTTTCTGTTGTAGAAAGTTTTTGACTTATGTGCAAACAATGACCTTCTAAACAAATTCCTTGTTTTCATGTAAGTTCATAAAGCTCTTTTGAAAGCTACATTTTATTGAAAAAAATGTTTCTCAAATATTCTGCACTAGTAAGCTCTCTCTTTATATATACCAATATTTTTATAGCTGTACATTCTGTTAGTAAATAAATGTAAACAATTTTTTGTTAACATGGTTTATTGGCACACGTATTGGCAAAGCAAACATAAAATACAGCTGTAACACAACACATCAACTCACTGTGTTTTTTACATGATGAATTGAAAATATCTAAATGAAAAAAATAGTTTATTTTATAAAGTTTCACATAAATACATTATAATCAAAATTAATTAATTTGAAAAACTTTACAAAAAATATTATTATACAAGAAATAAAGCATGAAAAGAACCAAATAAACAATATGCAATAAGAACCCAAATTGGTTTTTGTTCAAATTGTTCACAAAATTGATGGATTACATGGCTTTCAAAATTCAGATCAACAGCAATTTTACAAAGCATAAACATTCATGGGGTACAGCTACCCTCCTTCCACATAAAAATATTTGCTACATCTTTGATGAAACAAAACGGCATTTATAATTGTTTCAGTGCTTTTCACAAAGGTTTGGAAAACTTTGATTTGGAATCTGTTACATTGTTTGCCTGAAAGCAATGAAGAATAGAAATGGGAGTGAAAAAAGGCAAAAGAGATGGTCAACCTGTGCCAGAAAAGAGAAAATTATGGAGATGTTAAGAAAGACTTCAGGAGAATTAAACATGTGTAACTTTGATCTCACAATTATTCTTAGCCAGTCACATAGCTAGATATGCATGCTCACACACACACCCTTTCAAGAAACCTAAAGTTTTACCAATCATCTTTGGGACTGGAGTTTTCAGGTTTCAGAGTGGCAACATGCCTGCTCTGCTATGGATCAGAGCCATAAAAAAAAGATATTGGGGTAGTGTTATCATCTTATTGCAACAGCTTAAAGGCTTATCATTTGAAATATCAAGGCTGTATTTTGTAACTAGCAACATTAGGATGGTTGGATATTTAATAAAGCTGACATTATAATGGCTGAATCATTGCTGTCCCAGAAAGCTTGATTTGCTTCTCTGAGAAAATATTTTAATTTCAAACATTACAGTAGCATTCTCCACCATGTGGCCTCAGATCTTCTGGTCCTCATTTGCTGATTCAAATGGGGAAAGGTTTCAGCCCAGAATATGTAGACTAAATGATAAAGCTTTGCTACTGTGTTTTTTAAATAATAACAATAAGCTCTTTCTGGAGCCTGATAAAAAAAAAATCTTCTCCTCTTCTGCCTCTTGCCTTCTCAAATGGATCACCAGAAAAATCAATGGCATAGACAGAAAATTGTTTCCAAATTGTCTGCTCTTCCCATTTATATTGTAGAATAAGAAAAGCCAGGATGTCCTTTATCATGGTAAAAAAAAGTCATTTGATCCTGAGCACTGACAGAAGATATGGCCTTTATAGAATAAAAAGGGATTATTCTGGGGAAAAATCCTCCATTGAAATGTGAAAAATCATCATGAGGTGCTACTTACATATTTAGTTTCACTGAGGTCAGTGCCACGAGTTTCCAAGATTATCCCCTGGGTGCTTACAATTTTTTTTTCTAATTTCAAAAAAGCTGTACATCTATAAATAGCTTCTATCTTTGTGGAAAATCTAGAGGTTTTTGTTCTGCTTACCTATGGAATGCTGTGAGATGAGGGTTAGTTGCTGTTACCAGCCGAGCAGGGGATGGGTATGGAGCTCTACTGGGAAGCCTGGGTTGTGGGGTTCTCAGACTTGGTCTCCTGGTTGGTAGAAGTTTTATTGTTCCAAGGACTGTTATTACCTAGGGCAGGGGAATTGTTGAAGTCTTCATCATCATCCAGACCATTGGCTGCATCATATTGCATGTTCTCCAGTCTAGTGATCAGCCGCTCGTCTTCATCACCAAATTCTCCACCCATCAGAGTGGGTTCCCCAACAACCATCACATCCTGGAAAGGGATCCATGATTTGTTAGCTGTTAGAAACTGGAACAAGCTAAACAAAGTATCTCAATTCCTATGAGAGGATTACTCAAAATCCTTCCACACATTCCCCCATATTATCACCGCCAGGCCTCAAACGGGTATATTCAAACCTGTTGGAATTCTGTTTGTATATTGCTAACTTGAAAATCTAATTTTCAAAAATTTCAAATTGTTGACTGAAAGAGATGAAATAGTTGTGTAAAAAGGTGATGTGACACTGTATAGAATCAACACATTATTTACCAATTCACAATATTTGTGGGGTTTTCAGGTAGCAAAAGCAAGTAGTATCACCTTAGGAATAGTTTTATTAGTCTCAAAGACAGAATCTAGTGAAATTTGTTTCAAGATGCTTGGAAGCTGTCTCGGGGTTTTCCACATCAAAAGCAGAAGAGGGATAAACCAAAACTCCTGATCAGATCAGGGATGGTCAAAAAAAAATTAAGATGCTGTCTGTGACTGCATGACTGAAGACTTATTCACAGGCTCACAACCACCAATCCTGACTTTTCTGACCATCCTCTCCATATAACCCTGCCTGACTTCTTTAATCCTAACTTATTTCTCCCTTCATTGTTATAATCCTTTTAAAAGCTGCCTTTAATGCAGACATGTCAAACACAAGGCCCGGGGGCCGGATGTGGCCCACAAAGTGGTTTCATGTGGCCCGCAAAGCCATCCTGGAAACAGTGAGGGAATGGCCACTTCTGCCTTGGCCCTGGCTCAGGCCAGCCGGGAGCCAATGTACAATTTTGTGGTGGCCATCTATGCTGAAATGCATTCAGTCTTAGCTCCATAAGCCCTCCCACGCCCTGCATGGCCTGAGAGGAACAGTGAGGCTCCTCCAGTAGACCATGCCTTGGCACTTGCCCTGGTCCCACTCCCTTCTGCCAGAGACCCTCAGATCTATCCCACTCCTGCCCAGGCCCCCACAGGCACCCTTGACATGAACGATGTAGAGCTGGCCACACCCACCCAGTAGGCCACATCCACTCCATCCATGCTCACCCAGTAGGCCACACCCACCATGGCCACACACACCTGGCCCCAAGGGCAACCGCAATGCTGATGCGGCCTTCAATGAAATTGAGTTTGACACCCCTGCTTTAATGCATAAGCCATGGAAAGAAAGAATGAACTTAGGAGTTCACATTCTTAACCAATGCATTTGATGTGTTGCCATTTAGTTATGTTCACAATGATTTGCATCATTACTTAAGTAATTAGCAAAAAACCTGCTGATTGTCAACAAGCCTGAATTTACCATCTGCTATTTCATGGTGCTTCTCAGTAGCCCAGAAAGATGCCAATCTGTCCAACTGCTATCAACCCCAAAAGTTGGGATGCTAATTGCAAATGCTCAGAAGGGGTAAGCAAGGAAGCAAGTAGAAAAGTTGTGTAGTGCTGCTGCTCTAAGTACAACAGGCCTTTTTTGCCCAACACTCCTAGCACACTTAGCTCTGCTTATTTGTTCTATGTTGCTTTGCTTTATTTGGATGGTTGGTCTGAGATGCTAAGTCCTTAGAAAGACTGTTTTCCTGAGGTGTTATCATAGTGAGGTGTTTTAAGCCAGGAAAGGACTGCCCGGCTGCCATTGTGGAAAATTTGCTGACTCTATATTGTTGCACAGGAGATGTCTGAATGTAGGATTCCCACACTCTTTGTAGGACCCAACATAGCAGGTGTGCTTATTCTCTCCATAAATGGGGAAAGCTCTCCTTTTTGGAATGTAGCTGTGGTGCTCCAAAACAGATAGTGACTAAGCATAAACCCCAGCCAGTATGTTCCACTGCCTGCTTCAAATGCGGGAAGGAAGGCCACCGAGCAGCCAAATGCAGAGCAAGAACCCCAGCCAAGAAGGGAGAGCATGCACCAAGCATGAATACTGCCAAGCCACAGCTTTGCACGAAGGAGATGGCCCTGAGGAGTACCGAGGTCATGGAGCTTGATCCCTTGACAAAAAAGAGGGGGACTCTGACCCCACTGGAGGAAGACCAAGAGTTCTCGGACACTGACTATGAGGATGACTCCTTGGTAAGTGGGCCGATCGTGCCAGTGACTATGCCTATAGAATTACATCTCCCTGAGGCCGGGAAGGGTGCTTCCTTAAGAGCCCTGCTGGATTCGGGATGCACTAGATGTCTGGCTAGCCCAGCTTTAGGGGAGAAGTTGGGGATTAGCTTAAGAAGGCTAAAATCCCCCATCATGTTCTGCCAACTAAATGGGTCAGTCACAGGAGATATCCCAGCCACTTTCGCCACTCTGCCCCTGGGGATGAAAATAGGGACCCACTCAGAGACTTTAAGTTTCATAGTAGCACCGGGAATGGAAGACCCCTTCTGGGCTTGGCCTGGTTAAAGAAATGGGACCCAGGGGTGGACTGGAGGAAAGGGCTCCTGAAATTCCCAGAGAGGGACAGAACTCCACAGGGTGCTGAGCATCATGCCCCTCCCCAGAGGGGCCCCCAATGGGAAGTGACTGAAATTGCGAGGGGAGAGCAAATGCCAGACATACCAAAAAAATACCAGGATCTAAGAGATGTATTAGTAAACGGGGGTCTGATGAACTCCCTCCTCACCAATCCACTGGCTGCGCTATTGATATTGTTCCAGGGGCTAAACTGCTGAAGCTCAAACTTTATTCAATGACCCCCAGGGAGCTAGATGAACTACGTGCTTTTATTGACAAAAATGTGGCCCAGAGGTTCATCCAACCAGCCTGACCAACAGACCTCTTGCTCTGTTTCAAGGAAAGATGGCTCTCTTCATCTCTGTGTTGATTATTGTGGATTAAATGCAGTGTGCATGGAGAATGTATACCCTCCTTCTCCTCATGAAGGACATGTTAGCCCACCTGGCCAAAGGATTTTTTTTTTTCAAAATTGTGGGAGGCTTACTATTGTGCCAGAATCAAGGAAGAGGGATGAATGGAAAACCACCTTCAACTGCCTGCTAGGCTGTTTCCAGTTCAAAGTACTCCCCTTGGCCTGCAAGGAGCACCCACAGTGTTCATGCAGCTGATAAACTAGGTGCTCCATGAACATTTGTACAAGGGGGTCCTAATGTACCTTGCTCACATTCTTATTTATACCGAAACAAAAGTGGAGAATCTAAAGCTGATGAGGGCCATACTGAAAAAACTCTGTGCAGCCAAATTATATACCAAATTATCCAAATGCAAGTTTCACAAAGAAAAAAATTGTCTACCTGGGCTATCGGATCTCCCACGTGGGGGTTGAGATGGATCCAGAGAAGGTATGGGCAGTGCTGAAATGGGCACCAGGAAGTAACTCCAAAGTTTCCTGGGATTTGCCAACTTCCACCAGCAGTTCATCCCTTCATTCACTCAAATAGCCCTCCCTATCACCAACTTGCTAAAAACAAAAGGTGGGGACAAACCAAAACCCAGCCAACCCTTGAAATGGATTATGGAATGCCACATGGCATTCGCAAAGCTCAAAAGACTTTTTTCTGCTGAATCGGTACTGAAATACCCAGACCCAGGAAAACCTTTTGTCATCCAAGCGGCACCAGTGACGTTGTGGTGGGGGCTGTGCTGCTGCAAGAAAATGTAAAAGGGAAAGTACAACCATGTGCATAAACATCATGGAAATTGACCAAAATGGAAATCGGTGGGCAGTAGGGGAGAAAGACGCTTATGTGGTTTGATGGACTCTCCTTACATGGAGGCACTTCTTAGAAGGTAGCAAAATCCCATTCCAGGTCTCGACTGATCACAAAAACCTGGAAGCTTTGAAAACCCCTCAGAAACTGTCTCCAAAGCAAGCACAGTGGGCTCAATACTTCCAATGCTTCAACTTCATTCTACGCTACTTACTTTGTCAAGATGCTTTGTCAAGAATGCCACAATACAACAGTTCCAAGATGGAAATAATAAAGCCCCCTCTCTCTGTTAATCAGCTGGCAGCTCAGGTAACCAAGAAAGAGCAACAGAAGGGGAAAACACCCATAGACAATGCTATCATAGCTGACTTTTAAAAACCCTTGGAAACAGATGAGTGATTTGGCAGCCACAAAAACCTCTGCTCCATGCAAAATGGACCAGTGTGAGTAGGTGGGAAATTGTACATGCCTGCCAGTCAGAGACTAAAAACTATGCAAATGTGCCACAACTTGAAACTAGTGGGACATTTTGGGTTCATGAAAACCTCACACCTTCTCAAAAGACAGTTCTGGTGGCCCTCACTCAAAAAAGACATTGAAAGTTACGTTTCAATGTGTTTCCACAAAACGGAGGCAGGGAAAAACGCCAGGGCTACTCCAAACAGTAGCTGAACCTTCAGCACCCTGGAGAGAGATTTCTATAGATTTCATCATAGAACTCCCCAAAAGCTCAGGAAATACTGTAATTTGGGTCATGACTGACTTATTCTCCAAGCAAGTCCATTTCATTCCTTGCCAGAAAATTGCCATGGCTAAAGCGCTGGCCAAGATGTTCCTGCATCACATTTATCACTTACATGGAGTACCACAATGCATCATCTTGGACAGAGAGGTCCAATTCATGTCAAAGTTCTGACGAGCTTTTCTGGACCTCCTAGGAACTGACCAAAAACTCAGTTCTAGTCATCATCCACAGACAAATGGCAAGACAGAATGATCAAATTCAGTACTGGAGCAATACCTACGTTGTTTTATTAATTATCAACAAGATACAACTGGACGGATTTCTTGCTATTTGCCAAAATAGCTTATAACAATGCTGTGCGCACCAGCACAGGCTTCATGCCATTTTGAGTGGCAATTGGGTAAAATTTTAATCCAATGTCTGAACTACTAACCCAAGAACCCATGATCCCCTCTTTAAAAGAATGGATCAATCAATTGAAAAATATGTGGCCCATTATGTGCAAAGCCTTGGTGGAAACCTAGGCGGCTTATAAAGCCCAAGCTGACAAAAAGAGAGTGGAACCTAAACCATTCCACACTGGGGACCATGTATAT